AGCGCCAGTGATCAGTGTTTAAGCCCAATCAAAAGCCAGCATTTCCAATATACTGATTTTCTAGGCATTTATTTTTTTTTTTTAATTTCGTTTCAATTTACTTTGACTTTTGCTGATTAACTTTGTAAATATAAATAAAAAAATAAAAAATTAATTAGAAAATGCATTTTTCCTTAATTTTATTCTTGATTGTTGCCTTGAAAATCTCATTTGCTGCCTTAGCATTTAAATATCACCAGCATATTGAGCGAACTTGATTCTGTTATGGCGGGAGGGGGGGTACCTCACTTTTCTATCAAGGAATTGCTAACAACTGTCAAATGGCGTTACTCCAGGATGCTTTAGAGATGTGTCTCGTTAATCTCTGTGGACCTTTTTACCCAAGCAAACTTCATGTCGCGTTGAACATATCACAGAAAAATACACAGCATGCAATGCCCTAAGCTTACTTGATTACACAAAGGCATATCTATTAATACGACTAAACCAACGGATAATGAACTTTTCTCAATTGTAAGTTTGTCACAAATTTTCAGAGTAACCTCACGCTTAAAATAATGATATCTTTGCATGCACACCTTCACTCACCCACGCATTTTTTATTCTTTTGCTTAGTTTGCGCCAACAATAAATTATACTAGCAGCCATACCCAGCTGGACGATCAGAAAAGCGTTCAATTAGAATGGAGCAAAAACAGCATCATGTTTAGATGTAACAGAGTTTATCTTCAATTACTTTAAAATAATTTCATTAAAAAACATCTTGAATCAATGCAGTTACTGATATAACAGAAGTAGTCTGTATTTATTCAATCAAAGTTAGCCGAGGACATGAAGGGATAAAACAAGCAACATGAAGACCCACTTCAGACCACAATTATTTTGGAGTTTTTGAAATTCAATTTATCAGTGTGCTACCAGGGATGTAAAAGAGGATATATTTATGAAGCAATTGTTAAGTTTGATGTAAACTGGTTGAAGGACCAACGAAAAATAAGAAAGAAACAAGTAAAAATCGCCATTTTTTTTTTTTGCTATTTACGCGGGTTTTCACTATATGGACGGAACTCAGTTATCAAGTTAAATGACTGTTAAACAATCAACTTATTGTTGGTAACAATTGAGTGAAGTTTGTATTAGATTGCTTGAAATTTGAGGGAGTTTTTAGTTTTAAATGTGTGTTAAAATCTATTTGTGTTGAAATCGATTCATCGTTTTTCGCGATTTTTCGCTAAACGCAGTGGCGTAGAAATAAAAATGAGGTATCGTCGAGATCGTCATGATGTAAGTAACCTACATACCGAGTTTGAACAACTTCAGACGAAAAAGTTGAATTTATCAATTTTTGATCTGCTTTATCGTTTATTGATTTTTTTTTAAATATCGATTTTTACGCTAAGAACCTATCTCTTACATTGTATCTAGTATGTGCCAAGTTTGGTCAAGATCGGTTGGATGGCTCTCGAGTAAAAAAGGTTTCACACAGACAAACAGACAGACAGACACAAAAACATCACCTGTTTCATATATATATATATATATATATATATATATATATATATATATTGTTAATTGTACCTAATTGCTTGCATTTTCACTGCTTGTGAACATTTCGCGGTTTTTCTATTTCAAATTTTGGATGAACCACAAACCATATCTGACCTCAAGTGGGACTCGTATATACGATCCATCGCTAAAGATGCAGATCAAATGGTCGGCTCCCTGTACCTCTCCAGTAAGTAACTAACTTTTCATGCTATCCTCTACCTTTATAAGAGCCAGGTCAAATGCTGAAAATGGAGTACTGTTGTCATATTTGGATTGCCCAGTTTTTCCTTTCCTGTCTCGATAGAGTTCAAAGGCGTCTTGAGTCCTTGTGAGTGACAAATTATTTCCACCCTCTAAACTGTCTCTCTAACAGGCGGGATATGACGAGTCCTCTCATTGCTATATCGCTACTTCCATGGAAAATGCTCGGGATTATATTCTTTGGTTCTGCCAGTTAGCACCTTCACGTCCAGGACAAGCCATGCCACTTACATTGTAGCAAACCATCCACATTCTCTCCGTATTCAATCGGTGAATACACAAAGGCATATTTAATACAGTGTAACCCGGATATAAGAGACCTGGATATAAGAGAAACCCGGATATAAGAGAGATTTTCTCTGGTCCCAAATTAGAGCCATACTTACCTAAACAAAATAGACCAAACCCGGATATAAGAGAAACCCGGATATAAGAGACTTAGTCTCCGGTCCCGACAACTCCAACTCTCTTATATCCGGGTTACACTGTAATGCTACTAAACCAACGGATAATGAACTTTTCTCAATTGTAAGTTTGTCTCTAATTTTCATAGGAACCTCACGCGTAAAATAAGAGAAGCGAGTTGGTTATGGAGATTTTCCAAGCGTAGCTTCGATGTGGCACAAGGCCGAAAGTAGGGGGGAACCCAGTGAGGATCGAACTCACTCGTAATTGTTCTAGCGAGACAGACTTGCTAACCATTACACCGCCTCGAGGTGCCCAAAAGCGTGTTGGTTATAATGAGAAAACGATAGGAATATGGATGTGAAACGTGGACATTGTTGGCAGAAGTAGAGAGAAGGATCCAAGGATCAAAGAGTTTTTCTCATGCATTTGTTCTCAAACGCTTGGATCCTTCTCCCTCTGTTTTTGCCAACAGTGTCCACGTTTCACATCCATATTCATATCTTTTTCTCATTATAACGAAATCGTTTCTCTGATATTGTCTTTTTCGTTTTTTCTACGCAGTTAAAACGGAATGGTCCATTATTTATCTGAGGTAATACCAGGACACAACACACATTCTAACTAACTTATTAACTCACGGAGAAACAAGCAGAATTATAGTATGGTATTCATTTTGACTCATTTATTTGAGGAACTTCTAACGCGTCCACTATCCTATCAACGAAAATATACCTGAAAATATTTGGTTTGATTTTTTTTTTTTACGGTTTATCAACCTTTTATGGTTAATTAAAACTGAAACATATTTTTGGATTGTAAGAATTTTTTCAAGATAATAATTTTCTGATACAAGTCATGCTATTTAACCTATACCTGGGGGAGAAGAAGTAAATTCATACCTTTCCCAGGAGTATTTGCACTAATTGAATATAACGAGCCCGACTGGAATTCGAACAAAGCTCCTCGATTTCTCATTCCGTGCTGTTAACAATTACACTACCCACAAAGCCAAGAGTACAGCACCTTCCTTAACTTCGGTGATCGAACGAGAACCGGTGTTTCAACGTGATATGGCCGTAAGCCTATTCTTGAACAGAAGCTCGTGACAATTGTAGAAATGAGAACTCTTTTTTTCTTTTTGTCACTTTTACATCATCGACTTTAATGTCCCTGCATTGAAAATGGGTCTCAACATTCGCATAAGATGGAATTTTAGCTACGACTCATTTGAAACCATTGCAAAGTTGAGATTTTGACTCTAATTAATATTTTCAAATCGAAACGCGCACTGGTACAGCGAAAGATGCCTTCCAAAAGCGAAGCAAAGTATTAAGAAAATCGTACTGAACTTTTATGTAATATCAATATTTCCTGTATGGCAGTGAATGTTGGACACTCTTCTCACGAATATATAGAAAACTGGAGGCAACAGAAATGTAGTTCTACAGAACGATGTTGAGAATACTATGGACGGGGCGATTAAGCAACAACGAAGTCTTAAGGAAAATGGAAACACAATGGAAACTTATATACAGAATCAGAAAGAGACAGCCAAAATTTCCTGGAAAAATAATGAGGAATTAAGGCTTGGAGAATTTGACACACACATGGCATATCGAAAGAAAACGAAACAGACTGAGAAAAGTATTAAGAAATATGAAAATTTCGTTAGAAACAAAGAAAAGGGCGCTGAACTGTCCTGTAATATCAATTCTCCAAAATGGTAGTCAATGCTGGACAAGGTTCTCACAGATACATAGAAAACTGGAGGCAACAGAAATGTGTCTCTGCAGAAAGATGCTGAGAATACCAAAGGGTAAGCAACGAAGTATTAAGAAAAATGGAAACAAAAAGGACATTTATCAGAAAGAGACTGTTCAAATTTCTGGGATGCATAATGATTGGTTGGTTGATTTTTTTAGCCTCACATCAAACTCTGTGTGTTATTTAATGTCGAAATCTAAATATTTTGAACGCAATTTTATCACTTCAACTACGGCTAAAATGTATTGTTGGTAATTATTTTCATATAAAAATGGTATTTTTACTATAAAAATGTGTTTTTATACTTTCATAGTATTTTGCATTTGTTTGTAAATTCCCTATTTGCCCATAGTTGGGGCCCTAACAGGTGCTACCACCTCGGGTCAGGATGAATTTGGGAATAACAGTAATTAAGATGTGCCTCCATGCTCCTCAAAATCTTCAATCTTCCGATCAGAGTTATTATTATATGAATAATTTATAATGAAAGATTATGAACTAGATCCCTAAAATATTCCATATGATCTGGTCGGTTTTCACGATGGTTAACTATATTTTTAAGCCTTTCGTCACGATAAAACACACTTTATTTTCTTTTCGACAAGACTCTCCTCGGAGAATGCCTTAACATTCGTTTTCTACATATTGCTGCTCTTTTTGAAACTCTCCAATAATGCGATAAACACTGACATGCGCATTGCCTACTAAATTTTCTCATCGCCTAGTCGCCATATTCTGGTTTTGTATTTTTGAAAGAATGTTGGATGTTTCAAATTTATAAACACTATTTAAACGCTATTTTGTAAATGTTTAGAAATAAAGGTATTTCCAGAATGTTTGTGACTCTTCTCAATGTTATATACAATGGAGAAGATAGTATGCAAAATTACTAATTATCCTTTATTAGTGTAATAAGTTTAAAACCTTACTAGCTTGCTCACATTCGGAGACTGGTGTCAGAGTAAGATATTTTTTCTTCTGACTATATATAATTAAGACCATTTCTTAAACTATAGATTTACGGTCATATCACGTTGAAGCACTGGTTCTCGTACGACCATCGAAGTTAAGTAACGTCGAATCTGGTCAGTTCCTAGATGGGTGACCGCTTAGGAATACCAGGTTCTATAGGCTAGGATGTGCAGGTGGTGTAAAGGACTTATGGTCATATCACGTTGAAACACGGGTTCTCGTATGAAGTTAAGCAACGTCAAACCTGGTCAGTACCTAGATGGGTGACGGTTTGGGAATACCAGGTTCTATAAGACAGGATATGCGGGTCGTATAAAGGGTTTAGAGTCATATGACGTTCAAACACTAGTTCTCGTACGACCGCCGAAGTTAAGCAACGTCGAAACTGGTCAGTACCTAGATGGGTGACGGCTTGGGAATACCAGGTTCAAAAAGCCTGGATGTGCGGGTTGTATAAAGAGCTTACGGTCATATCACGTTGAAACACTAGTTCTCTTACGACCACCGAAGTTAAGCAACGTCGAGCCTTTCTGGAAATCGGAGAGCCAATTGTGTGTGTGTGTGTAAATCTTTCTTTCTCTATATATCATTCGATTGATTTCTCTCACTCTAGACTGCTTACAGTCATATCAGGTTGAAACACCGGTTCTCCTACAATCATTGAAGTTAAGCGATGTTAGAGCCTGGTCAGTAATTAGATGGGTGACTGCTTGGGTATACACCCAAGCTTACAGTACTTGTACTGTAAATTTGGATGTACGCTTGGTTTAATGGATAACGCCTGGGTTTGTCATATTCGCTTACGCGCAAAAACCCTCGGGAAAATTATGAACCCAACTCTTCTCCCCTCAGCTATGGGTTAAGCTGTAGGACTTGTATCAGTAAATCATTATTATGTCTAAAAATTCTTACATGATTTTCTGGTTTTAAATAACCTGCAAAAGGTTGATAAACCGTAAAAAACAATGATTTTACACTATAAACTATTGGGAAAATTGCATGAGAAAGTGGAAAACGTTTACTTGTGACGCGTTTCGTCCATCAAGACTTCATCAGACTAAAGTTGTTGTGGATTCCGAGATGAAATTCGGTCTCCAATGAATGACAACCGTAAGAAATAAAGATAAAAAATTAAATGTATTTACACAATAATACAAAGTGTAATACTGTTAGTAAATCCAGGAACGCGGTTAGTCGTAATAAATATATATATATACAGTCTCGAAGTAGGACTTCCTTAGAGTCTACGTGCTTGCAACTGACTTCTACAAGCAGTTACCTCACACTATTACTCTACCTCCAACTCAATCACATTCTCTGACTGACTGTGGGTATTTAACGGCAGCAGTTCCAGTAACACTTTGGTCGAGTCCACTTATATCAAAAAGGGGTGGACCCCATAACAGTTGTTATCTTGGGACGACTACACATGCGCAAAAACGAGGAATGCTGTGGATTTTATAATTTTTTCTTTTTTTTTTTTCTTTTTCTCTAGCCGAATAAATTTAGAGTTTTTCTCTTTTTCATTGCATCACTTTTGTTCGTAGGTATCCCACGCTGTGATAATAGAAGATCTGAGAAGGTGAAGGTGAAATGTTGCAAGAGGCCGGACGCAAATGTACTGTAGATGAACTTGCGATAAAGGCACTATAAACTATAAAAATTGTTTCCTTGTTGCAGGGTATCCGTTTATCCGTTTGCGAGACAAGGGAAAAAACAACCCCTGTTTATCTAGCATCCTGGCTTGCAAATTAAGAATGTGATTACTAAAAGATTGAAGTTTCGTCGACATTTTAGAATCTCAGAATTAGTTCATGATCTTCCCCAAGGAATTGTCAACCCAGTTAACTTCTTATATTGATTCCACCGAATTACTTCTTAAGAACTCCATTAGCGTTTATTTTAATAAAACTTCATATTACCTACATCCTGGCAATAAATGTGCCGTTAGTGTATTGGTTAGCGGCTCGTAGAGAAAGATCAGCGAGCCGAGTTCAAATTCCAGCCACGTTCGTTATACTCACTTTCGCACAAATAACCGTGAGAAAGGTACAAATCAATCCGTTCTCCGTTAAATAACAGAACACAATAACCGTAGTTGGAAACCGCTCGAGGAGAAAGATATTTCTGAATTCAAAACCTGAAGCTGTACATATATGTGTACGCAAAGAGTGCAGATGCCATTCATGTAAAACAAAAAATACAACACCTTTCGGCAACTATAGACGATTCAACAGGAATGCGCCTACCCAAATCACTGTTGCCTTGAGCAAATATAGTTGATAACCAACGAGAATTTGTCTCAAGAAGGCAGATGGACATACTTTCTGAATAATTTGATTAATTCTTCAATAAGTTGAACAGAGTTAATTGTCTGGGTCGTTATGGTAATCATAGCAGAGTGGATCGCTCAGATAACTATTACCCTATCTTCTCGTCTAACCTTGTAGCTTGTTAGTGATAAGATCACAGTCAAGAGATGAAACTGAATGCAGGGAGAATTGGATTTATACCTTTAGCAAATATAGTTGATAACCATTAGACTATTGAACACCTATGGACTAGAAAAGTCTTAAATAGAAAAATCTTACTGTCAAAACAGCTGAGGCTGCACGACAACCCGATAGCGAAAGAAGCCATTGCTTTCCAAATGACCGTAGCCACAGCTGATTCAGAACTTTGAATGGGTTTCGATTGATTCATGATCTGCTTTTTCTCTCATCTCTCTTTATATAAAAATGGTTTTTTTTTTTTACAAATCTGAAGGCAATGAATTATCAGATATATTTATGTTTTGTTTAGAAAGCTAAAGGCAATAGTTTGAGTGAAAATTTTAGCTTTTTGCTTATTTTAATTATTCTGCTTTTTCGTGCATCCATTGTTGCATTAAATACTGAAAAATATCCTGGGAAGTCTTTGATCAAAACGTTCCCACAGATGCTCTCCACATAAGGAGAGTATATTATCAGTAGTCTTTGAATTAGCCTAGTTTGGATTCTGTGCCTTGCCACCAAACCAAAAGGATAGGGTTTCGTATTGTGGCTAGTTGCAGAGATTTATTCACAATTTTAAAATATTACTAACACGCATATATACATTGGCCTCTATATGGCACCCGTTGTTTTTTTTTTTTTTGAATCGGACTTGCATTGTATCCGAATCTTTGCAGATGGGCTTGATCAAAAAAGAAGCAATTGCTGGTTGAATGCTGAGGATCTAATTTCACAATCAGTTTTCCTTTCTTGTGCACCCTTCACCCATTCAAAAAAAAAAAAAAAGTGAAGTACTATGAGGGAGACTAGATAAAAAATGGCTTTGCCTTGCAGGGGTGTGATTTGCGTATTGTAAGTAAAGTTACTGATCGTACTTTTCGTTGAAAGGAAAAGAGTTGAAGATTAATGTTAAAACGTAGCTATGATAATATGGATATGATTATTTTTGCGATAGCCCCCCCCACCCCAAAATAATAGAAAAAAAAGAAAAAAGTAAAAGAAAAGACAACAATGTCAATAAATAATAACTCACTTGCACGTAATGAATTTAACATATCCCTACGTTTTATGACCACTGTCTACAACACAATGAACATTAACAATAAATGGCAAATACTCAACGAATAATTATTGGAATAATAAAAATAAATAAAAAGAATAAGCTATAGGATTCACATTGAAGCCATACCTTTCTAGCGGGGGCGGGCCAATATCGATTAAATATTTATTAAACTTACCTTTGTCTGGCAGAAGGTCATTATGATTGAGCACTCAAGATCCAAATCTTTATACTAACGAAGAGATGTACAAGAATAGTTTTTAATCAAGCGTCTTACCAACAATAGTCAACTCATTATTTATTAACTTTAATTTTGTCTGGCAAAAGGTCATTATAATTGAGCGCTCAAGATCCAAATCTTTATCCAAGGGTCTACAAGGTAAATTTTTTAATCACCGTTCTACGTCAAGTGTACGACCAGCAACCGTTAATTAGATATTTATTAAGCTTAGTTAGTTTGGTAGAAGGTCATTATAATTGAGCACTGAAGATCCGAATTTTTATATTAGCGAATGGTGTACAAGAATAGTTTGGTAATCATTGTTTTACGTTAAGCGTCCAACCAACAAGAATGAAATAATTATTTATTAATCTTAGCCTAGTCTGGTAGAAGGCCATTATATTTCAGCACTCAAGATCCAAATCTTTATACAATAGAATGTTCTTCAAGATTAGTTTGTTAATCATTGTTCTACGTCAAGCGTCATACCAGCAATCTTTAAATAGATATTTATTAAGCTTACCATAGTCTGGAAGAAGGTTACTATAGTTGAGCACTTAATATCCATATGTTTATACTAGAGTAATTCATTGATTAAGTGATTTGATTTTTACAGTTTATCAACCATTTTACAAGAGATTTAAAGCCAGAAATATTTTTAGATTGTAAGAATTTCTCGGAGATAATACTTTACTGATACAAATTTTACTAATTAATCCATAGCTAGGAGAGAAGGCGTAGTTTCAAACCTTTCAAGTGGTATTTGCAACGTAAACGAATATAACGAATCTCACTGGAATTGGAACTCGGCTATGCTATTTACAATTTCTGACCCGTTATCCATTACACCAGCCGCATCTCCAAGCTGAGAGCAACTGATACTTCCGAGCGGTAACCAATCTAAGTTTTGACCAGGCTCGTAGTTGCTTAACTTCAGTGATCGTATGAGAATCGATGTTTCAACTTGATATAACCGTAAGCCTTTTATACTAAGGAATTCTCTACAAGGATAGTTTGTTAATAATCTTTCTATCTTAAGCGACCTTCAGTCAAATAGTTATTGGTTAAGCTTAGTCGTGTTTGGATCGCAAACCGGAGGGAGCCTTCGGGACCCCCACCCCCCAGACACTGCTTTGTGGCCCTCACTACCTTATCAAGATTTGCTTTTTTCCACCTATATTTATATACGTTATAAATTAAACTAAGCACAACTCTTAAAGGATTTTTGACACCATTACGGTTTTTTTTGTCCAAAGTCTTGAAAAACAATATATAAAATTTATTATTTTTTATCCATAATATTGAATGTTTTAAAATTACTCAACTTTTTAACAAGAAATATCTCTAGTTGTTAAAAATTGCCGCAAAACATTGTTAATT